AATGCAACTTCTACAAGAATTTCGGCTTGATTTTTCCAAAATGCAGGTGTCTAGTCCTTTTAAGGCTGCAATGCCCTTTTTAAAGAACATGAACAAACTCTGCAGAAATTTTGCTAGCTCAAGGATATGTGTGTGCGTTGTGTGCCTTCACATCATTTCCAACTTATGCAACCCTAAGGCGAATCTATCATGGGCGTTTCTTGGCAAGATTTGTTCAGGGGAGGTTTGCTATTGTCTTCCACTGAGGCTGAGAGAGTGTGACTTGCCCAAGGTCACCCATTGGGTTTCCATGGCTGAGTTGGGAGTCCAACCCTGGTCTCCAGAGTCACAGTCCAACACTCAAACCGCTATGCCATGCTGGCTCCTAGCCCAAGGGCTACCTGAATAAAATTTGAAATAAGTGGAGGTTGTTTAGTGCTGTGCAATTTAATTTTATTTTTACACCTCCTCAAAGCTGACAAAACAGCAAAAAATTGCAGAATGAGTTAGGCAACACAAGAATGCAGCAATTTACTTGACGGACATTGTTTTCTCAGAAAAGATTTCAGAGTAATTTCGTGCGGCAAAAGGAGATCATGCAGAGAATAGAAATTGTTTGAGGACACGTTGCCCTGTGCAATTCTTAAGATTTTCCAATGGCATTCCCAGTGTACTTCCAAACACGTTTTTGCAGTCTGGCCAGTTTAACAGGCACTTTGATACAGTTTTATGGCAGGGCAGGGGCAGCATGGTTTAGTGGTTTCAGTATTGGACCACAACTCTGGAGATCAGGGTTCAATTCCCTGCTTGACCACGGAAACCCATTGGGTGACTATAGCCAAGTCACACACTCTCAGCCCCAGAAAACCCCATGATAAGTCTGCCTCAGGGTCACCATAAGTTGGAAAAGACATGAAGGCGCACAACAAAAAGGGACAATTATGATGGGTGTTGTATACAACCTGACGTAAGATGTTAGGGTGCATCTACACTGTAGAAATAATACATTTTGACACCTCTGTAGCCCATCCTATTGAATCCTAGGATATGTAGTTCTGCAAGGTCTTTAGCCTTCTCTGCCAAAGAGCACTGGTATCTCACCAAACTATAAATCCCAGGATTCTGTCCAATGGAGCCATGTTGATTAAATTGGTGTTATTTCTATAGTGTAGAGATGCACCCACAGTCATGGCTGTCTGGTATTACTTTTAATATCCTTTCCCTTCTCCTCAAAGCTAGGATGCCAGGGGCCTTCTCAGAGAATAAGAAATGCAAGTTAAGGAAATCAAGATGTCACAAGTAAAAAGGTAGCTTTGCTTTCAATGCATCCCTCTTTGCAAAGCTGCTAATGATTCAGGAGAAGAAGAAGAGAAGCCAAAGGAGCTCAAACTGGAGAAAGGGAAGGAAGGGGAGGCAGATTCCAGGAGAGAGATCAATCTTCGGAGCCTTGGCCATTACTTCTTGAAAACAGAGAATTAGTGTCAATGCGTGAAGGATGGAGCACACTCTTCCACCATGCGACCTCTGATGGATGCTACTTATGACTGGTGGCACTTAGCATGAAATATGGGCCGTGGGAGGAGGTAGAAGAGAAGGGAACCGCAAGCATTGCTTCTGCCCATCAAATTCATGCTGGAAAAACCAAAGACCAGTGCGCAAGGGAGCTGAGCATCTTCTGGCTGGTTCCAGGGAGGCACCTTGTGGGAGACTTTGTACCGAAGCATAATAATAATAATAATAATAATAATAATAATAATAATAATAATAATAATAATAATAAAATATTTATTTATAGCCTGCCCAATCACAAGGAATCCAGGCGGGTTGGAGCAATACAAGTGCATGGAATACAATAAAATTCAAAATTAGTTCCTTCCCAACCCCCCCAGCCCACGCCAAACTAAAATTACAATAAACAATCACAATTTAAGAGCAAAAATGCAAAAAAGTTTTAAAAAGGGGAGATCATTATAACCTTTATAACATACAAATGAAAAATAGCTAATGGTATTATTTACAGACTACCGTAGTCATTTCTAGGAATTAGTTATATTTGTGGGAATAAAAAACCTTCTCCGTTCATAATGGTTGAGAACCAATTTCTTCCTTTTAACTCTTAACTTTGTTATTTTCTTTTGACCTCTTATGTAGTATTTAAATCTTGACTTTTTCATGAAGTTTTTCCTATAAAGTCACTCAATGTTACTCTTACAGAGTTACTAAAATTTCAAAACAAAAGAATAACAGTCAAAGAGAAGGTTATTAAAAAACCAATCCACATGCTTAGATCGAGTTTACAGTCTTCTTGTCAATATTCATTCCCCATTCATTGCAAGGCACTATATAATCAAGCCATGCCAGTCTTTTCCCATCCTGTAGATTTTTAACCAGAAGAGATTTAAATTGCGCCTGTAAATTTGCCCACCTCCGTCCTGCTCAGCCATGGAAACCCACTGGGTAACCTTGGTCAAGTCACACTCTCTCAGCCTTAAGAGGAAGGCAATGGCAGCCCCTCCTGAACAAATCTTGCCTAGAAAACTCCATCACACAGCTTTGCCTTTGGGTTACCATAAGTTGGAAAGGACTTGGAGACATGCAACGATCACAACAGGCTCTGGAATAGAGAAGGTATATTTAGACACATTTTGGTATGTATGTACCTGCATTAGTCATTGCTGGCACCTGGCGTATGCGCAATGTTCATCCTCGGTGCCACTAGGCAATCATCAAGGGAGCAAATTAAGGAGAAGCAAATGGTAGGGATGGATGATGATGATTGATCTGTTTACGTATTCCTCTCTAAGGATGAGCTCCTCTGTCACGAGGCTTGGTTTTTCTCTTCGCAAACGAAATGATGATCGCATCTTTTTTTTGGGGATAACGATCCCAATTAAAGATGCAAAATTAACCCCAGCCATTTCGAGGCATCGCTCCCCTTCCCCACTTGCTAAACTCCTCATTCCTTTTGACAGCACAAGCTGGAGACTCTGAAGTTAGCAGAGCATCAGATCTGCTCCGGGTTCCAGTGAGAACTTTAAAGGAACTGTCTGATAGAAGAAGGGAAATGGAGCAAATGGGATCTACAAGGAACCAGGGGTGGCAGCTGGCTCTAAAGTCAGTATGATGGTACCTTTAAAGGAGATGCTCAAAGGGCCGAACCTATTGGAAGGATAGACCCTGGATAGCTCCCTTCAAATACAGTCGGCTCTCTAGTATCCGTGGATTTTTTTTGTCCATGGATTCAAGCATCCACAGCTTGAAAGTATTCAAAAATATATATAAATCCC